GCTCTGCCTCGGGCTTCCTGTAGTCAGCCGCTGGTCAGTTTCAGCAGCGGCTGAATCGGGGACACCTGGGGTACAATATGTACCAGTTCCGACTTACATACAAATTCAACTTAAGAACAAACCTACAGTCCCGATCTTGTATGTAACCCAGGGACTGCCTGTAATTTCTTCTGCACTAGGAATGTTAGAATGTAACCAACTAACCAATCAGCCAATAACCTGATCAGCCGCTGGTCAGTTTCAGCAGCGGCTGAATCGGGGACACCTGGGGTACAATATGTACCAGTTCCGACTTACATACAAATTCAACTTAAGAACAAACCTACAGTCCCGATCTTGTATGTAACCCAGGGACTGCCTGTAATTTCTTCTGCACTAGGAATGTTAGAATGTAACCAACTAACCAATCAGCCAATAACCTGATGCTTATCAGTTACATTCAAACTCAGCCTGCTTCCGGGGAGGCTGTTTCACTGAAGCAGAGCAGCGAAGCCTGCTCCCTGGGGAGTGGGCTGGTGGCCCCACTGCAGGCTCTGCAGTATAAAGCTAAACTTTATACTACAGAACCCGCAGTGCCTGTAACTGTGTAACCACTAAAAATCTTAGCAGCTACACGGTTACTGTATTAAACACTTTTAAACATCCCTATTCTATACCTCTACAATGGTGCTCACAGAGGAGAGATTTACTGAGTATTGTGCAGGAGACTAACAGAAGGTATGTAACTATTCACAGATTCAGAAAAACAATGTAGGTTTGTGTCTACAATGAAATATAGGAAGTGGCAGTTATTGCTGCATTAGAGAGATGATATAAGCATCACCCCTATAGGAAGGTGTGAAATGCTAAGCTGTGCTCTTTTTAACACAGAAGTTGCCAAGTAATCAAATAGAATATCCTTTTTACTCGCCTCTCCCCCATCATAGATCTTTTCGAGCTGTATTTTTTTTAAAAGGTTTAGCCTGTTGTCTTGATTGGGATATCTGCAGTGATGTGTAATTAAAAAGATTATTTGGACAATATTTACAGGGGATGTGGTGGTTAATTAGCTAATCGAGTAGTTGATGGAATTTCCATTAACTATTCGATAAAGGGGAGCACTTGCTACTCCCACTGCAGTTTAAATGTAGCAGGAGTCAGGTGCACAGGCAACGAGGCTCCTACTAGATTTAAACAGCAGAGCTGCAGTGGCATTAGCCCCTGTGGGTGGCACGAGCCGGGACTGAGCAGTCTCAGCTTGCGCTGGCTCCGGGATCCACTGTGGCTCTGCATTTTAAATGTAGTAAGAGCCACCTGGCTCTTACTACATTTAAAAGTCAGAACTGCAGTAGGGGACCCAGCGTGAGCCGGGACTGCTGAGTCCCAGCTTGCACCAGGTCCCCCACTGTGTGTCTGCTTCCCCAGCCCCTCCAAGGGTGCTGGAGGGAACTAGCTTGTAAGCTGGCTCCCCCTAGTACTGGCTCCTGCCCCCCTCCCCCCCGATACAGAGGCAGCAAGGGTGAGGGAAGCAAGTAGTCAAGTAGTGACTCAACTAGTCACTTATGTCCATAATATTCATAATCTCTTAGGTTAATAAATGCCAATGTTCATCTCAGAACATGCCGATGTTTGATTGCTGTCCCTATTCTGCAGGTAAGGAAGTAACTTAAGAACATAAGAATGGCCACTCCGGATCAGACCAATGGTCCATCTAGCCCAATATCCTGCCTTTGCTAGCATCTGGGACTGGACCATCAGAGACTTAGGGACACCCTGAGCATAGGGTAACAGCCCTAAACATTTTGATTAACAACCAATGATTGTCATGACCTCCATTAACTTATTTACTTCTTTTTTGAACCCATATATTTTTTGGCTTTCACAACATCCTCTGGCAATGAGTTCCACAGGCTGACTTTGAAGAGTATGAAAAAGTCATTCTTATTTTGTTTTAAACGTGCTATTTATCAATTTCATTTGGTGACTCTGGGTTCTTGTATTACGGGAAAGGGTATTAACTTCCCAAGATCACACAGGAAGTAGCAGCAGCATTGGCCCAAACGTTGTGACTTCCAGTTCACCATGCAAGCCTGCTCTCTTTCAAGGTAACAGATTAACAAGAATTGATGATAAGAGAGGATAAAAGAGGAAGCAACAACTCAAACACCCTCCCTCGCCTCTTCTCCAGACCAGGAGATGAAAATGCAGCCGAGCAGGACCAGAGATGATCATGAGGTGGGCAGACAAGGCAATGTTACCCCTTTACTCCTAGTAATATTGAGATTTACTTTAGATTATGAAGGTGCCCTCCTATGCTGTTTTCTAGTGGGACCACAGTACATGTATGAATCAACATCCCATCTCCAAAAGTATGGCTCCATATACAGTCTCCTATACTGTTCCATCACCCAGATCCATATGCTCTAATTATTAAAGGTTGCCATGTCTCTAGAACTGTGCATGTAGGAAAAAGTCCTGGGCTGCTTTGAATTTCACCCTCAAATCCACCATTGCTCACCTTGTTATAGAGTTTGATGTTGGTGCCAGGAGTGGTGGAGCCAAAGTGATAAACGAGGGGGGCCTGGATAGAGAAGCCCTCCTCTACATCAGCAGGCCGCTCAATGTACAGTGCTCCCATGGTGCCAGGGATGGAGACAGAGCCTTGGCCCACGTCCAGCTCCACGAATGTGGGTCGGCGCCCCAGCCGCACGGCATAGTTCAGCAGCAGCCGGCACACTGTCGACTTACCCACATCTGTAGGCCCTACCACCATGACCCGGGGCCCCTGCTCATCCTCGCGCTCTGCCTGCCGCCGCATCTGCTCAAGGGCAGTATGGGTGTTGAGGTAGAGGAGCATGGGGGTGTCCTTCGATACATAAGCCACTTCAGTGCGGCCGCTCAGCTGCACTGTACAGCCATGCCATGTGAACACAGCCACCTTGGCACCAGCATCAAAAGTGAATTTCTTATTGCGGGTCAGCTCAGTGCCGAAGATCTCCGCCATGCCTGTCAGAAGCTCCAGCTGGACAGTCTGCGAGGCCTCCACCTCAAAGCGAAGCTCTGTCTCCCGCTCCAGCTCAAACTTTGCCACCTGCTTCTTCTCATCCCCGGCCTCCTCTGCCATCTCTATCCCTGCATAAGCCTGAAACAGACACAAGAAAAGAAGTGACATCACAGGGAATATAATGCTCTTCCATGCCCCTCCCCCCCAGTGTTCTGTGTTGTCACACAGTCACAGGCATTATTATACATGGACGAGAGGGAGGATCCCACTTCCTGCACCGTGATACGACTGATTATTCTGGAACTTCACTAATTAGATAATATTCCTGTCACATCCCTAGGAACCACACACAAAAGAGCACCAAGGCTGATAGGGGCCACAGACGATCGTCATGGAAACAACAGGACAAGAGGTTGACTTTAGCAAAGCTTTCGATACAGTCTCCCACAATATTCTTGCCAGCAAGTTAAGAAAATATGGATTGGATAAATGGACTGTAAGGTGGATAGAAAGCTGGTTAGATTGTTGGGCCCAATGGATGGTGATCATCAGCTTGATGTCAGATATATGGTCGGTTTCATGCGGAGTGCCCCAAGGATCAGTTCTAGGGAGCATTTTGTTCAACATCTTTATTAATGACCTGGATGAGGGGATGGATTGCACCCTCAGCAAATTTGCAGATGACACTTAGGGGGAGAGGTAGATATGTTGGAGGGCAGGGATAGGGTCCAGTGTGAGCTAGACAGATTAGAGGATTGGGCCAAAAGAAATCTGATGAGGTTCAATAAGGACAAATGCAGAGTCCCGCACTTGGGACGGAATAATCTCATGCATAGTTACAGGCTGGGAACTGACTGGCTAAATAGCAGTTTGGCAGAAAAGGACCTGGGGATTACAATAGATGAGAAACTGGATATGAGTCAACAGTGTGCCCTTGTAGCCAAGAAGACTAATTGCATATTAAGGTGCATTAGAAGGAGCATTGCCAGCACATCTAGACAAGTGATATTCTGCTCTGGTGAGGCCATAGCTGGAGTACTGAGTCCAGTTTTGGGCCCCCCCCCTCCCCCACTACAGAAAGGATGTGGACACATTGGAGAGGGTCCAGCGGAGGACAACCAAAATGATTAGGGGACTGGAGCACATCACCTATGAGCAGAGCTCGCCAAGTGGTGGAGAGCCCCACTCCCCAGCCACGCGGAACCGCACGCTGCATGGCCTTGACGGGCTAAAATCTACTCTCCACAGGCGAGTAGATTACATTAATTGTTGAGCCCTTCCTATGAGGAGAGACTGAGGGATTTGGGCTTATTTAGTCTGCAGAAGAGAAGAGTGAGGGGGGATTTGATAGCAACCTTCAACTGCCTAAAGGGAGATTCCAAAGAGGATGGAGAGGGCCTGGTCTCTCTGGCGATGAATGGCAGGAGGAGGAACAATGGTCTCAAGTTGCAGTGGGGGAGGCGCAGGTTGGATATTAGGAAAAACTATTTCCCTGGGAGGGTGGGGAAGCGCTGGGCGGGGTTCCCTAGGGAGGGGGTGGAGTCTCCACCCCTGGAGGTTTTTAAGACCCAGCTTGACAAAGCCCTGGCTGGGTTGATTGAGTTGGGGTTGGTCCTGCGTTGGGCAGGGGGGCTGGACTTGATGACCCCTGTGGCCTTCCAGCCCTGGGATTCTGCAAGCGCCGGGATGTCCGCTCTCCGCAGCAGCGCCTCGTGCTCACGTCAGCAGCGCCCCCCTCGCCAGAAAAACGGCAAACCCCCACCGAGGCGGACACACTCCCCCGCCCCCCCCCCCCCCGGGAACGGCCGCCCCCCCCCCCC